CCTATTAAAGTGCACCCCTGTGACACCATCAGCAGCACCCTCAGTACAGCTTCCTGTTCTAATAATATTGTATGCATTTCATCTATAGCAGTCAAAGGGTATAACAAGTAAAATGGGAATTGATGGAATGTAGAATAACATTCTCCATTTTGAGGTATAGGTTTTCAGAGCAGATGTGTATGTTTTTATATGTTCAGATGCCATGCAGGGAAAGAATGCATTATTTGATCTGTGTGAAAGGAGTCTAATTTATCTGTGTCTCAACATATTACAGCAATTTTAAACTATGGTGGTGAAAATGATCACACTGTATCTTTCAGTCCTAAATGTCAGGTTTTGTTTGGTTTTATTGCACTGGAAGCTGAAAGATTAAAGGTTCCTAGATCCTTGTATGTCATTCCTGTTCTTTCATTCTAAAGGAAATTGACTATCTCTCACTCTGCAGGAGTAGGGGGAAAGCAATTGATTTCTGTGGTGATAAAGTAAAGATGTATTTTATATAATGGTTTGATATGAGAACACAATTGTTTTTGAAACTTGTTCTATTTCTGATGTGATTGACACATCACTTTTCAAAAAGATATGAAAATACAGTTAATCTGCAAGTCCAAGCATGTTTACACAACATATTTAAGTGCATCTCTCAAATTGCCTCCTGTATAATGTTAACAATCTGTTAACATTTTTTATTTATGTCTTTGTATTCATGTCATGTGCAATTTAAATAAGTAGAGTTTACATGAATGACTTTATCCAAATGCAAGCATGGTATAGCCCAGTTTCCTTCACATTGTGAATTCCAGCAAGCATGATGATGTACAGCTAATTTCCAGCTATTTCTAAAAACACCAATGAATGTGGTTATGTATTCATTAAAGGATTCATTTACTTTTATGTAAAGTGCACTCATCCTGCTGGAGGTACCCCTCAATTCAAAGTATTGAAGGCTCCCAGAAGCATACTTAACTGAATTTCATCCCTGCCTTCTAAAATGTTTACAGCCTGCAGCCGTAATCTTCTTTGCCACTGACCATGCATGCACAGTGGGGCTTCATAGACATCTATGGGGCCATCTTTTGAAGGTAAATATGCTCAAAAGATGATATTGTAGCAGAGCATCCCAGAGGGAGTGACTGGGAAAGTCCTGTTCGGAGTGTATAGGTCTCCCAGGTTCCTCTCCAATACATTTAGGGATTGCTGATCCGGGCTCCAGTGCAGGGTTTACTTCTCTCTCCTCTGACAATTTAACCTCAACTGGAACCTGTAGTAAATCACTTACAATGGATGCTGCTTCTTGATGTTTAATTGTTTTAGTTTCCTGCAGAATGAGCTGGTCCCCTGAGCACTGGCCCTACAACCCTATTTTAGGGTTGTTCATTTACCTTATGGGGTCCTATGTAGCTACCCTTGTGTATACTAGCAAGCTGTGTGTGTCAAGTCACTCCCCTGCTCCCACCTTCCCATCCTTCCTCCTCCAATCTAGTAGATGGACAGCTGCTGGAGAATGTTCTGTGATCTTGTCCTGGACAGGAAGTTCAGGGAAGCTGAACTGCAAGAGTTGGAGCCAGCTGTTCTAGAAACATGATGACTGTAAGTGCTCAGGCAAAACTATAAAGAAATACTTTGCTGGGCAATGTATGTTTGTTGGATCTGGATTCATTATTGTAAAAAAAGTTTGAGAGTTTAATACTACTTTAAGTGCTTGTTTTGTCTAGGGAGCTACAAAAAAAGTTATACTCACCCGAAATGTGATCTCAGCTGGCTCCTACACTGCTCCCTCTAGTTTGTCTCCTTCTCCGCTCCAATAATGGTTTGTCCCTTGGCGTCCTCATGTTCTATACACTGTATAGAACATGATGACTCACAGGATCTTAGACAACTTGAGTGGAGGGAGAACTAGGCTTAAGGGAGCAGTCAAAGAGCAAGCTAGGATCGCAGTTCGGCTGAATATATATTTTTTTTAGCTCCCTAGTCAAAAGAAGCACTTAAGTGTCAGATTCAAGTAAATAAGCATTTGGTGCGAGAGATGGTGGGATGCCAGGAACAATCCCACGATCCCCTGCCCCAATGAAAACTGAAACCAAATCTTTTAAAGGATAAGTGTGCTTTCATTTAAAGTGCTTTTCTCCTGCCTGCCTAGCCCCAAGCCCCCCGAGCTAGGCAGGCAGGAGAAATGTACTTTATATGAAAGCACACTTATCATTTAAAGCAGGAATGGCCAAACTCCTGCCCTCTAAATGTAGTGAAGCTGTAAATCCCATCATACATCTGCATCTAGAAGCCATACCTGTGGCTTTAAGAGTCTTGCAATGTAGTTTCACCACAGCTGGAGGGCTGGATTTTAGCTACCTTTGCTTTAAAGGATGCAGTTTCAGTTGTTAGATAATTCTGGAGAGTTAAACTAATTCCCTTGCAAATATAACTGGCTTATAACCAATCGCCCTAGGACCTGTGTCAACAGGGTTTGAGCGTGTGTCAATGGCCTCAGTTTGAGAGGATTCTGACATCATTCAGTATTTATTGACAGGTGCATTTGACCTGCAGTTGTTCTTATTCTTACCTGCATTTGACCTGCCCTAAGTGGGTTTTGCACACCCATAGACTTGTTTGGGTATGCAAAACCCATTTGAAGAGAACAAATGCCCATTGACACAGGCCCTTAAGCATATCAGTTTACCAGGCTGGTCAGTGTTCTACAATGAAGATGTGATTGGCATTGATCTGATCTACTGCAAAACACAGTTGTGACTAGCTAAATAACTCATCAATATATAACTTCACTACCATACCACATACATTAAAATAACAACAAATTGTCTTAAAAAACAGTATTGATTAGTCACACAGGAAATGTAAGGATGTTGTTCAAACTTACTCCCAAAATATACAACCACTGGAAAACAACTGTTGCTATATACACAGATAAACAGTACATATGTCATCAAAAATGTTCCTTGGGCAGAAAGAGCAGATTGAAAAAGCCTAGTCCAAGGTTCACTTTTCACATCCAGTTTAATGCCACTGTACCATTGTATTTCACTCATATACAAACTGTATAAACAGTATAAAAATGTAGGATAACCTGCATTTTGTTTCTTACCATATTGATGGAGCTTCTGTCCCACTGATTTCTAAGAAGTCATATCCTTCCTCCAACTGAAAGTCTGTAAAGACCAGTGCTATAGTATCCCCAGGCTCAGCAAGAACTGTCCATGTACAATCAGCATTATTTTCATATTCTGAAGGGAAATGAGGACTTGAAATGATGCCACTGGTTCCTCGTAAAGTTCCACCACATGATCCTTCAGCTGATGTAATAAAAAAATAAATTGTGTCAGCATAAATATGTTTAGTAAACATTAAAACATTATATTTTAACAAAACAGACAACATATTTATTTAGGTTACTGACCCAAATTTAAAGATCCTTCACAGAGAATTTTAGACCACAGACTTCTAGGGCTCCATTTCATTCTCTTTTTATTACTTGCCCAACCAGGATGGCAGTGTCAAATGTGATACATGTGATTGATTGGCACAGAATCACACAGGAAAGACATCTACAATTAGCTGTCGTGCTGCTCAGAATAATCATGACTCTCACTTGACAAACTGAGACAACACACAGGTAGTTAAAGTGTATGTAAACCCTAACAATTAGCTTCTCCTGTTTGGTCCCTTTCTGTTGGTTAAATATACATTTGAAAGCATTTTGTTATATTTATATGAAAAGTTAAAAATAGAATCCAAAATTTTATTAGCTCATAACTTCCTATGCTCACTGCTTGTGCTGACTATTATTAGTTATACTGTTCTGCCATCTCTGAGGACTACAGAGCCATGCCACTCTATGTTTGGACAATACAATAGGGGCATGTATCCATAGTTCTATCTTGCTTCTGTTGTTCTGAAACAAAAATGTGAGTTAGTTTAGTCATTGTAGGACTGGAAGTATTTTACTGGCAAAATCTTCAGGTGAAAATAAAATAAAAAAGCCCAATGCAACTACCACATCTAAGGACTGCAATCTATAGCATGTAGGCAGTAATCTATAAGAAAGCCACAAAGTCCCACCTCTCCAATTCCAAATCGAATCTCTCACCGTCAGCATATACCAGGTACAGGCTAAAGGTGCGCTCTCACCTCTCACAGATCAATCTTCCAAAGAGAGCTGCACTGAGCCAGTAAACGTGTGTAAAATCAATCTTTAATGTTGCTCATCCAACATATCAGATAGTATATGCCAGGGGTAGCCAAACTCCGGTCCTCCAGCTATGGTGAAACTAAAAACCCCATGATGCATCTCTCTTCGGGAGTCATGTCTCTGGCTGTGAGAATCTCTTAATGCCTCATGGGATTTGTAGTTTTAACACAGCTGGAGGGCCAGAGTTTAGCTACCCCTGGCATACACCAACAATTGCACCCATGTAGCTTTGCCGCCAACGCGTTTCACCACACAGGCTTAATCATAAAGCAATCATAGGTGTATACTATTTGATATGTTGGACGAGCAACATTAAAGTCTGATTTTACACATGCTTACTGGCTCAGTGTGGCTGTCTTTGGAAGAATGATTTGTGAGAGGTTAAAGTGCACCTTTAGCCTACACCTGGTATATGCTGACGGTGAGAGATCGTCTTTGGAAGATTAGGCCATAATCTATATTTAAAATCTTTGGGTTTAGAGACACTTAAGACCTTCCTTCCTTATGAGGATCAAGAAGGTGATAAAGTTTGGAGCCTTCATCTCCTGTGCGTTAATGGCCTGATAGGATTGGGAAGGCATTAAACTGTCTATGATGAGATGTAGTCTAGTTTATCAAACTGAAAAAACATGATCAAAACTATATACTTCTATCAGTGGCTCATATATGGTTCTTAATATTGGATTCAGCCAGAAAACCAAATAAAATAGTAGAAAGAAGAGAAGAATTATTGAATGCTGCAGAATACCACTTATTGACAATGGAGCAGTGCCTTGTTCATCCAGGTAGCAAGAATGCGAAGCAATGCATGGAAGCAGGTGAGCATTTCACTGCACTGTACAGCAATCCTATTGCTTGCAAGTTGTCACCAGCAATAGGATCGCCATGGCATAACCGGTCAAATATCCCTCTCATTTCCACCATGAAATCAAACAAAGAATCTGACTAGATGCTAGTTACAGCACCGTGCCTAAGGCAATTCTTCCCTTAGTCAGGCCCACTATGAACTGTTGAGCTGAAAGAACCATAGAGAGATTAATTATTTTGGCTGACATGAGAAGAATTAAGATTTAATTTTATTTAGCTACCTGAATAAACATGCATTTTTTTTGCTTGCTTTATTGTTTGCATGGTCAGAAAGCATCATATCAAAAATTATACTTAGTAATCCTATACAAAATAAGGTACAAATATGTAATAACTGTACTTTACTCATATAATCTACATTGGGTCGATCACCTAAAATTACTGCAATGTTCTCATCTGGCCATATTTGATCTACAGTATATGCATTAATCTGACTGGTTACTATGGGTTATTATAACATAATACAATTATTATTAATAATATTTTTTGTACAATACAATTATTATTACAATACAATTCACAGGCACACTACGCGTTGTCATATTAAATATGCCTAAATGTGTAAAACCAGTATAATGAATATTGAAGGATCACTATTATGAAAAAATATTGTATTCTGGTAAATGAATGCAGTTATTACATTAAATAACAAGCAGAATTCAGCTTAGTATGTATTTATTTTGTTTAACATGTGTTTTATTTGTATTTTTTACTCATTAACATGCAGTACCAGCTGTCTATCAAAATTGGCAGGTGCTGAGACAAGGTATAGCACCGTCAGGGATGTTTGTACAGTTTCTTCTATTTGTTTTTAATTTAAAAAGTACATAAATAGCATGAATAAAAGTTAACCCTTGTAAGAACCTTTAGAAGTTCAAAGTGACATTAAAGGATACAAATCCCCCCTCCTGCATGTTAGTGTAAGGACTTACCTTAAATGATACCCCTTGATCCAATCATCTTCTTCTTTACTGTAGTTTCAGCTGTCCCTCCAGCGCTGGTCTCAGTCTCCGATCCAGCGATGGCTCCTGTCTTGACTGGCACTTCCTGTCCCACAGAGTCTATGCGGTTGCACACTGCTGCATTTACTTACCTTATGTCTCTCCTCGTCTCCCGGCCGAAGATCTGAACTGCGCATGTGTCCACCCAAGAATCTTCAGATGTTCGGACGGGAGCACACGGCGGAGACACATGTAAGTTTTATTCCTTTCTAAAAGTTTTTTAATGTTTTTTTTTATATAACTACTGCTGTATGGAGGGCAGTAGGATCGTAACCAAGAAAAGATGGATATTGGTGGTAGGAGGCCCAATTACCAGAGGGGTAGACAGGGTAATCTGTCACAAAAACCATGATCACCGAACAGTATGATGTTTACTGGGCGCTTGGGTTTGGCATATTGTGGATTGGATGGACAGATTGTTGGGTGGGGCTGTGGAAGACCTAGCAGTTATGGTATACATTGGCACCAATGACAAAATCAGAGGAAGACGGAGTAGCCTCAAAAATTATTTGAGAGACCTAGGTCACAGGCTAAAGAAGAGGACCTCCAGGGTGGTATTCTCTGAAATACTGCCAGTGCCAAAAGAAATGGAGGAGGAAAACTACATTAGTTGAACCTCATGGACCTGTGTCTTTATTCAACCTCACCTACTATGTAACTATAATCTTTTCCATGAATACAATTTTTACATTTCCACCATGGGTCTTGTTTATATGGCAATACCTTTGTCATTATTTAAATTAACAAACATATAATTTGTTTTAGGACACAGAAAGCTTTATTTTGGTGATTTTGTTTCCAAATATGATTTTAATTTTCATGCAATTGAATGTAAAAAAAAAATGTTTCTGGTTCAGAGCATTGCAAAGGTATTTACAAATGAATAAAATTAGGGTTTATCAGGGTAAACTAAGGGTTAATAAGGAGTTGAAGAGGAATACATTTTATGAAAGGAGACCTCAGGGTCACCGGAGGACATATACCGTGTCCTGCGGTGACCCAAAACTCAGTAGATAGTGGGCTATTGCCCGTTACATGCTGAGAGTGCCGCAGTCGAGACAGATCCCGACAATACTGTTGAGATCCACACCGCTGGCTGATTGACAGCTGGCTCTGCCATCTTAAAGGCAGAGCTAGCTGTTCCCACTCCCTTCCTATCTGTTCCACCAGTCAGAACTAGAGAAATGGAGAGTGGAGGCAGAGGGAATCCCTGCAGGGTGCAGTGACCGACAGTCACACTCTCTTCAGGGAGAGCATTAGGAAGTCAGCGAAGGTGGTGTGTTTTCGCATACTTCCCGATCAATAGAGCTGAGCTGTGACAGCTTCTTTGTCACCGGTTGGCTTGAATTATGTTGATGAGTGTTTTTCACTCTCCCCATGATTCCCCCTTAAAAAAAGTTATTTTACTTGTCAAGTTGCTTTAACTGACATCATACACAGATTGAGCTTTATCACTTTGATCTACAGATGAATGAGTAGATACAAACAATGTTTCTTTGTAACATTGTTTATAAACCCTGCACCAGTCAAACTATTTTGTGACATCAGCAGCCTTTACAGCTGCTGTATTAACATAACTCCCAGCTATCATTTTGACAGTCGGGAATTGCCAGCAAGTGTATAGAGGCAACCAAGACATATTACACACCCCTTTGTACTTTGATGAAGTCTTGGGGGGCATGTGTAGCATGCCCAGTGTCCACAACTGGTTAAAGAAAATACCAGAGGATAATATTTTTATAAATAAAGATAACTGATGGCAAACTGACATGTTATGGGTAGAGCAATATAACATTTAGTTGCACTGGTGGTTAAAGAAAAAAAAATATTACTGATTTCTCCCTATGCAGGCAATTGAAAATGAACAATAAATAATGTTTACTCAATAACCCATTTATTTCTAAATAATTCCCATATTTAACATTATATGCATGTAATAAAGTTGTGTGTTTAAAAAAAACATTTCAAGTAACAAGTGGGACAAATCAGTGAGTTAATAATGCTTTCTAGGAATACTGCAGCTATGCTAAATATGATATATAGTTCTCCCAATTTATCTTAATTTGTGTTCTCTGTAATTCACTGTAACCACATTTCAGAGAACATATAGCAGTGTCACTGGAAGTTTATTTACTGAAGTCTGCATTCTATAACATTAACTCTTTCTCTCTATCTTTTCTTTCTATATCACAAATCCTTTTCAGATTCCCAATATGAATATGAGTGGTGGCTGTAA